ACAGTAGAAAATGAGCATTTTTTTAATATGCATTGTATTACTTATACATTTAAATGCCTGTTTTTGGCACTTCCACATCAATTAACGGTGTATACAGCCTAAAGTTGATGACATAAACTCTGTTACCCAGCATGATTTCATTCTAAAAAATAAGTAATTGTATGGGTAATACGCGTTACCTCAATAGTATTTTAAAATATGCTATAAAAACTAGGACCAAGCAGAGTACTGCTCTAAGTAAAAATGAATTCTGCTCACTTTTATTTATTTATACATAAACTATTATGTAAACTTAAAAAAACTATCCAATGCACTCTTTGTATGGCTGCATTGTACTTAAACATGTTTGAACATGCTGGATTTTACAATCGGTCTATTACAGGGAAATCCCAACCGTACGTCTGGCAACAAATTTTATTACTTTTCAAGGATTGATTCGTGCTCTTAGAGACTATGAACACGTGTTTCATTTTTTTTAACTGGATCCTTTAGGACAAATCTTATGTCTTGTATAGACATTTGTTTAAATATTCCCTTTCCACGAAATATTCAATATTTATCTGTTATTTTATTTCAACAAACCCTCAGTTTCGTCTTGTACTTGGAAGCGTTCTGTTCTTTAGAGTATCAAAGTTCTCGGCAAGATTTTCATTATTCAAATTTACATGGACTGGTAAATCAGGACCAAATAGTTCGCCAAAAAAGAAATTTAAAGGAACAAAAATGATGAAAGTGTTTATGAGTAAGTATATTTGATATATTATACCTGATTAATTATTATAATGATATTAACACTATAGTCATACTCGACTTTATTATTTATGACTACTATTTTTAAAGAAAACATGATAATGTTACAGGTGCAGCAAAAAGAATTAAGAAAATTAAAACGTTCACTTTGAATGAATTCACTTCGAATTTCTCCGAGGTCCTACGATCTTATAAACAAATTTCGAAAGCTTTAAAGAAGAAGAGGGCAAACAGAGGCCAAAATGAGGAAGATTCATATTTATTGTCAGATGACGAAGATAATGAAGCAATGATGGATTAAAATTTAAACGAAAGAACATTGAAATTAAATCCCTGGCTACTCTGCATTTTGTATTAAGATCAATCTAATAATTATTAGTAAGAAAGTTTTTTTGTATTTCATATCCTCTAACATTATAATATAATTACATTTATATTTTTAAATAATCATGAAAGTATTTAATATATTTTAATGTTAATGATAATTATGTTTTATATTTGTATTATTTAATATTATTCAGGTGTTAAATAAAAAATGTAATAAATAATTTTACTGCATATATCTATCATACCGATTTCTCTAGTAGTGTCACATTTTGATCATTTGATGAAGTAATCATGATTTGAAAATAATTCTTATTTAGAGAAGTATATATGTGTACATATTTAACGCTTCAAATGTAATCATCGTATGCTGTGAATATGACGAAAATATGATTTAAAAATATTCGTCATTTACACAAGTATATTTGTAGGAGTATATGGTGTTTTTAAAACCATCACGGCATGCTTATAATATGAGGAAAATATGAGTCAAACATTTTTATCATCGTAATAGGCATACATGTAAGAATATTTAATTTTTGTAATGAAATCATATAACGCTGAAACTAAACTATCGATTTTTAGTACAAATTTTCTATGATTTACTTGATCTGATATTTTGACAATCTACACTCAATCATGTATGTCATCAGTTGCTTTCAATTTGGTCTAACTGAGGTACTCACAAAACGGTCATGATGAGTTCATATAAATAGTAAAAAATGGTATCAATTTGATTTAAATTTCATAGAGACTTGTCTCTCTATTAATTAATGATTTTAGATGATATACAAGTATCCATAATAATAACAGCATTTGATAATGATCATCATTGGTACTCTTGATGTTAAGCCACATAATAAAATGTACCCATATAAATGCAACACAATAAACGGTTCAATAAGTCGCTCAATGAATATTTTGTTAAAATCTTGAAGTTTTTTATCTGTTGATGCGAATTAATTGTATGAGATCAATATTTTTGAGATGAATTGATATTGATTTTAATATTATTTTTTTATTCGTATATTAAATATTTAATATAGCAGTCATAGTTACGTACAAAAACTATGGATACACATATGGTCCCACATTACTGGAGTGACCCAATAAAATTTACTGGGCTGCTTAGTAAAATGCAAGAAAAATTCTTATTCGTGTACGGAAAATTAAACGTAAAGTTCTTATAGTTGTATTTGGTGGATTTCATGTTAAAGAGACATATTTGCAAATTTAGGTAGAGTTGACCATTTCGATTTGCTAGATTATTATATTTTCCTTATGATTAATAATAAGTTATTATTGTACAATATTGTAAGCAATGTGAGTTTTTAGAGAAAAGGTCTTACGATTTAGTCAACATTGAAGTATGTAATAAATGTTATTATAAAAATATCTGCTTATGTTTGTGAACTTTTTTTATTTTAGATATTTCGAGAATAAATTAAAATATCAATTCTTTACCAATTTCATTTGATGGATGCATTATAAACTACTGTTTAAGTTTTTATTAGATAAAAGTTATTGCAGATACACTTAGTATATGCATGGTATGATGCTTTTGTTCTTCTTTGTTTTTCTTCTCACATTTCGTATATCTTGAAATAGAACAACGAGACTATATATACATCCCTAGTATGTACAAAAATACATGAACTTTACATACACATTGGTTCAAAAGTTTTATACAAATTACTGTTTTTTCTCAAAGACTATTCGAAAGCAGAATAGTCATTCAATTGTAATAGCAGTTTTTTTTTATTATTATCAGAAGCATAAAATCGTTAAATAATATTTTTTGATATATTGAGAAAGAGAAAAAAAACTATCATTAAATCAACAAACATAGTCTTAGAAAAATGGTTAAAACCATACCTTAAATTTACATGATTTCATATATAAAGTTTTTAGCTCGTTGACGTCATGCAGTAGACTTGTCGGCGTCTAAAAGGTCATAATGTAGCTTGTGTTCGATTTCACCCTCTCACTTCATTTCGATTCATCTTTTGCTTAAATAAATTACATATAAAATAATATATATATATACATATATATATATGGACCACCAATTACTGATCGACAATGAACCATAGAAGCAAAAGTAAATATCTCAAATACCTAAATTGAAATGATAGATAAAGTTCAAAATTACAGCGATATTGAGTGGATCTAATTCTTGATCATTTATTTACAGTCATTTTATATTTTTAACTAGAGAAACTCGGTAATATTATAATTACATCATCGAGCAGAATGTTCATCAGATTACGTTAATGTTACAATTTGTGTTAATATAAGTTACTTCTATATTGAATTAATACCAACATGCGGGCTGTAAAAATTTTACTTGGTCTTACTATTCCATATATGGAATAGTTATATATGTTATACTAATTCTGCTCATCAAGGAGTAGTATTTTGCTATCCAATCGGATATTGGAAATGATTTTCTCAGTATATTCCTTTTTAGTAAAACTATGTATTCAATCAGGGATATAAATTTTTTTTAAATAATTGAAAATTTCTTCGGATCAAATGTATTCCCACAAAAGAAAGTTTTACTAATTGGCCAATGGCATCCATTTCAAAAATTCTAAATTTGGTTTTCTCGAGGTTTTCAAGTGTTTAGAACCATATTACACGACTTTCGAATAGATGAATATGGGTGAGCATGTATGTAACTTTACATGTAATTATGTAGACATTTTTTCTAATGTAAAATTTCACAAGCTAAAAAAAAACAAAACTGTACACCAATACCATAATGGACCCTGCTTACAATGATTAAAAGTTATTTTTTTTAATGATGTGTACCAAAACAAATAACTTTTATTATTGACTTGTCATTTGATAAAAATAACTTGATTATCGATCGTTAATAAAATGATGTACTCTAATAATTTATAGAAATAAAAAGACATAAAATTTATTTTATTTTATTATGTCTATAGCAGTTCCATAATGTCATTATAACAGCATCTGTTTTTTTTTTACACAGAATGCAATTTGTTCGATATTGTTGATAAAAATTTAATAAAAGACAAATGCTTGCAACAGTAAAATATTTTATTAATAATTTTATAAATATTTAATATTTTTCAATATAAATAAATTTGATTCCTGTTCGTTTGGTACTGCTAATACAAAAAAAATTTTTAAATTTGAATTTTTTAAAAACATCGTTAAATTGTTAATTTAACAGAACTATATAGTGATGAACTAAATGATCATTTTGAAATTTAAACACAAACAAACTATGAAAATGTTTATATAATCAATTTATTGAAATTTTAAAAAAAGTTTGACCATTTAAAAAATTTATTTGAAAAAAATATCATAAAATTTATTATTTACGATATCTCAAGTTCTACCTTGAACTACTTAGCGTTTAAAGTATATTACAATACTATATGGCAAAAATTTTTTGTGATAAACATCATTTTAGTGCTTGAGTAATAAAAGATAAAGATATGTAAAGCCACTGTTAAAAAAAGTTTACTTATTTTCACACCAAGGTTTTTGAATTAATTTTTACTACAAAAGTTTTTTTCGTGTACACATCCAGAAAGTATTCAGAAAATCTAACTTTCCTAGAGCCCTTGACATCAAATAAATTTGATTTTTTTTTTAATCGACAATGAACTATCACTTTAACCATTTTTAAAATACCTGTCTCATAGTGTTGGTTAAATTTATTTGAATCTTCTTTATTTGTTTGTTGGATTTAAAAATAGAGATTACGTTGTAAGTTACTCGACTAGCTGGTTACAGCAGGACTGCGTGCATGCATTCTACGTAATCTTTGAACCCAATAAAATACAAAAATTTCAATTCCCATAATCGAAAATATTTAATATTTATTTTTACTATTAAAAATTATATATGTAATGATATTATCTTAACGACTTTTAATTATTTGGATTTAGAGTGATCCAAGTACTGCGTTTCTTCGTGCGGCTCGTGCTGGTCAGCTTGAAAAAGTTTTGGAATTTCTGGAATCTGGAGTAGATATCAATGCTTCGAATGCTGTAAGGACGATACAACTTCTAAATCATTCTTTTCTAACGTAATTTAACTGTTTAAGTATCAATTTTTTTTTTCCAGAACGGACTAAATGCTCTTCATCTAGCGGCAAAAGATGGCCACTTGGAGATTGTACGAGAGTTATTAACGCGAGGTGCAATTGTAGATGCAGCTACAAAAAAAGGAAACACTGCTTTACACATAGCTTCACTTGGTAATTATATTTTTATTTTATCATTCAATTTTCAAAAATTTCTTTTTGTTAATACTTTTACTATTATATTATCTATCAGATTATTATAAAATTATAATTATTAAAAAGTTATATCTACTGAAGAATAGAAAGAAATCATAATAATTATTCAGCGAACAACTAATGAATTGGAATGTAAACAACTTTGAATGATTTAATGAAAAATGGTATTATTTTAGCTGGTCAGGAGGAAGTAGTACAATTGCTCGTTCAACGAGGTGCTTCTGTTAACGCACAATCTCAAAATGGTTTTACCCCACTCTATATGGCGGCACAAGAAAATCATGACTCTGTAGTTAGATTTTTGCTTAGTAAAGATGCAAATCAGACTCTTGCAACTGAGGTAACATATTCTTGAAAGCTTTTACTACTCTTTAAATTAAAAGGCCAGTAATGTCTCGTGCACCCAGTTATAAATGAGGGTGACGAAGTACTATCTTTTTACGTATTGCTTACATCAGAATCCTTGATGGTTATGAATTTAAAAATTTTATTTGCAACGTCGACATTACATGATATAAGACTATTAAATGGCTTAATTGATTAATTAGGATAACACATTAAGCATGCGCTGTTATGTCCTTAAAGTAATCCATTTATTTCCAAGATAATACAAAAATGTACACCAAATGTCGATGGCAATAATTTTTGTTCATGAGCGTAAACGATTATTCTTAAAAATAGTTTTACTTCAAATATTTAAATTATCAAGAGCTAACTACTTTTTCAAAATCAATGATGCGTATAAAATTCATTAAATCATTTGTTTTCAATGAAGTTATTTTAGCTACGTCAAGTTTTTAGTCTTTCAAGATAGAAAAACATCACAGTTCAAATTATTTAATTTTATCATAAAGTGAATCTTTTTTTATATATTTGCTATTCAATTTTTATTACTTGCATACATTATTCAAAATTAAGTTTCTTTTCTATTAATCTAATTATCCATATGTTATTTTTAATGTGTCATTAAATCAATTAATATACCAATATAATTTGTTTTAAAATTCATATAGTCAGTTTTTGATAATTTAAGTGTTTTTGAAATAAATAAGTTTCATAGAAACAGTATTTTCAAAAATTATCATCTTCGTCATTTATATTCGGCCTATATTGTCGTGTGTAACTTTGAGGGAAAGTTGTTTTTGAAATAATTGAATTTATTACACCGCTCTCTTTTAACTATGTTATTTTTCAATTTTTGAAATGTAATACTTAATTTAAAAATTATAACATGAAATTATAATTAATATATTCTTGAAGCTGTAAAAATTGCAACTTATAAAAATTTATAAAACAATTGATAATAATAATTTTTAGGATGGTTTTACTCCATTAGCTGTTGCGATGCAGCAAGGTCATGATAAAGTTGTTGCAGTGCTTTTAGAGAATGATACCCGAGGCAAAGTACGGCTACCAGCACTTCATATTGCAGCAAAAAAAGATGATTGCAAAGCTGCAGCTTTATTACTTCAAGTATAATTAACCAATTTTTTAAAATTTAATTTATTGTTATTTTCAAAGTTGAAATATTTTTAATAATAAGTACATTACCGTATAATTTACAGAATGATCACAATCCTGATGTAACTTCAAAAAGTGGTTTTACTCCACTCCATATCGCTGCTCATTACGGAAATGATCGAATTGCATCTTTGCTTTATGATAAAGGAGCTGACGTTAACTTTGCTGCTAAAGTATGGAGTTAGAATATTTTTTTTCATTCTTTTAGTATGTAATTCGTTGAAATAATGATATAATGGTTTTATTTATTATAGCATAATATCACGCCAATGCATGTGGCAGCTAAGTGGGGAAAAATAAAAATGGTAAATTTATTAATGAGTAAAGGAGCCAACATTGCAGCCAAAACGAGAGATGGTTTGACACCACTTCATTGTGCAGCACGAGCTGGACATCATGAAGTAGTCGATATTCTTATTGAAAAGGGAGCTCCAATAGGTGCAAAAACAAAAAACGGTTTGGCTCCTCTTCATATGGCATCTCAGGGTGATCATGTTGATGCTGCTCGTATATTACTTTATCACCGAGCACCAGTTGATGAAGTTACCGTGGATTATCTTACTGCTCTTCATGTAGCAGCTCATTGTGGACATGTTCGTGTTGCTAAGCTTTTACTTGATCGCAATGCAGATCCAAATGCTCGTGCATTAAACGGTTTTACACCACTTCATATAGCTTGTAAGAAAAATAGAGCCAAGGTTGTTGAGTTACTTTTAAAGAATAAGGCTAGTATTGAAGCTACTACAGAGTCAGGTCTTACGCCTCTACATGTTGCTAGTTTTATGGGTTGCATGAATATCGTAATATATTTATTGCAAAATGAAGCTAGTCCAGATATTCCAACTGTTAGAGGTGAAACGCCACTCCATCTTGCTGCACGTGCGAATCAAACAGATATTATTCGGATACTTTTGAGAAATGGAGCACAGGTCGATGCTAGAGCTAGAGAAGAACAAACGCCGCTTCATGTTGCATCTCGATTAGGAAATGTTGATATTGTCATGCTTTTACTTCAACATGGAGCCAATGTTAATGCCACAACGAAAGATTTATATACTCCTCTCCATATTGCTGCTAAAGAAGGACAAGAAGAAGTAAATATTAGTTATATTATTTCTTAAATATATTTTAATAACGCAAATTAATTAAATACATAGTTTAGATAAATAAAATTTTATTCAAAAGAAAATTACTAAAAATTTACAATCACAATCTTATTGCAGGTGGCATCTGTTTTATTAGAAAATGGTGCTTCGCTTAATGCAATGACTAAAAAAGGCTTTACCCCTTTGCACTTGGCAGCTAAATACGGAAATATGAATGTTGCGAGACTACTATTACAAAAAAATGCACCAGTTGATGCTCAAGGAAAGGTAGATGAATTTCCGATCTTCAATGATACTATTTTTGTGTTAAATTAATTAAATTCTCTTTAATTAAATATCCGTAAATTATAGAATGGCGTTACTCCTCTTCACGTAGCATCACATTATGATCATCAAAATGTTGCTTTATTATTATTAGATAAAGGCGCATCACCACATGCCATGGCTAAAAATGGTCATACACCCCTTCATATTGCAGCTCGTAAAAATCAGGTAATTCAGCAGCATAAAACTAAAATGTTCTGTCAAAATGATTCGGTGATATTTTACTCAATTGTTAAATCAAATATTAAATAATATATCGTCAATTATAATTTTGTATATTTTTTAGATGGATATTGCTACAACTTTATTAGAATATGGTGCAAAAGCTAATGCAGAATCGAAAGCAGGCTTTACACCACTCCATTTAAGCGCTCAAGAAGGTCACACTGATATGTCTACTTTACTGATTGAACATAAAGCTGATATAAATCACAAAGCCAAGGTACAATAAAAATTTGATTATCTTGTTAATTAATAAACATTTATTAATATCATCAGTCATATTGATACATTCATTTTATATAATAAATTATTGATTATAAAAAACTGATTCAACTTACAGAATGGACTCACGCCGCTTCATTTATGCGCACAAGAAGACAAAATGAATGTTGCTACAATACTCGTAAAAAATGGTGCCCAAGTTGATGCCAAAACTAAGGTAACGATTGTTCATTGTGTTCAAATGTTAATTTGAATTTTGATGTTAAAAAACATTTGAAATTTTATTAGTAATCAAAACAATTATTAGCTTTTGATATTGAATTTTTTATTCATAAATTTATAAATGAATATCATTTTGAACTTTTTTTTTAAATTAAAAATTACAACTAATGCAACATAATTAGGCTGGATACACACCCTTGCACGTGGCGTGTCATTTTGGTCAAGTTGCAATGGTTCGTTTTCTATTGAGAGCTGGAGCTGCTGTTGACACAAGTACAGGAGCTGGCTATACTCCATTACATCAAGCTGCACAACAAGGCCATTCGCTGGTTATTAATTTACTTCTTGAAAGCAAAGCTAAACCTAATGCAGTAACTAACGTAAGTATAAGGTCACTATTTTAATAATCGATAAGTTGGCTTCACTTTGTAATTAAAGAACACTATTTTGTAAAAAAATTTATCATAAACAACCCATCCTTAATTTTTTATAATTACATAATTATTAAATTAATACAGAAATATAATTATGTGTGTTTTCGTATAAAGGACGAAATTAATGTAAAGTTTATTAATTGAAAGTAGTTTGATGAGAAAGAATTGAGATAGTGACCTCATTTCAAATTATTTTTAATTTTTATTTTTAAGTTAATGTCATTTTTATATGATTAAAAGAATGATGAAGCATAAAATTTTTTTAATTTAATATTTTCATCAATCAACGATATGTTAAAATTTGATACTTTTTTTCAGAATGGACAAACTGCTTTAGCAATCGCACAAAAACTTGGATATATCAGCGTCGTTGAAACACTCAAAGTTGTAACAGAAACAGTAATTATGACGACACAAACAACGACTATTGAAGAAAAATATCGAGTTCAAGCACCAGAATCAATGCAGGAAACGTTTATGAGTGATAGTGAAGATGAAGGTGGTAAGTAAAATGGGTCATGATATTTTGGCATAATTTTTTTTTATTCGTATTATATTTTTTTTTCTATAAAAGAAAACAACAACTATGGTTGTTTTATCGAAAAAGTACCTTTATTTCTAAGTCATTGTTTATTTAATATGGTAATTTTATTTATAAAATGTAACTGATTAAATAGTTCATTATTTTCGTGCATATGATTTACACTTTTAAATAGCAGGAATACACTGGAAAAAATTCAATATTGTTGAAAATTTTCTATTATTATAACAATACTGGTCTTAATTTCATTCATACAATTCAAAGTTTGTCAAAGTTTTTCAAAATATGAAGAAATTGTTAAAAATAAAAAAGTTCTTTATGAAGAGTATATTTATAATTTCAACAGATAAAAACATTAGTTGAGTTGATCAAATCTCGTATAATTAACAAAAAAACAAAACAACTTAAGGTAGTTTGGCATCCACAGATTGGTAGTCAAATAGGATTGATTTTTTTTTTTAAATCGATAAACAACTTCCTACATAGTATGTATATAAGATTTGTAAGTATAATTTATAAGTTGAATGCAGCAGCTGTTAATGAGAAATGAAAGACAAACTTTCATTTATATAGATTGGTTAGATTAGTATTGCCGCCATTTTTTCATAGCTAATATGGTGAAGAAATAAAGATAGATGCCGAGTTACAATTAAATGTTAAAACATAAATTTTAAAAAACTATGTGGTGAATTATGCTGAAATTTATCTCAAATATATTTCAAGCACTATTCTTTATATTAAGATATTTTTTATTGTGGGTCAGTTGGGCAAATTTTTTATATAAATCATAAATTTCCGGTGAAGTTGAACAAGGACAATTATAAAAGTTCATATATTTTTCTATAAATTAAAAAAATTACATTTCCTAAATAAAGTAGTAGAAAAATCTCTTTTTTTCTTTCAAGTCATAAAAGTATGGCCTTTCAGAAAAATTAAAAAAAAGAGTAGTTAAATGTGAATTTTGCCAATACCAAACTACTTTAAGAATTGAGTTTTACAGAATTTATAAGTGCATAGTTCTTCGAAGATCACACTACGACAGTAATTTAGTCTAAAATCATTTTAATTTCGTACCAGAAATAATATTTTAGCTTTTTACGTTTTTTCATCTATAACTTTTGTAGTGATATTTTTAAATAATATTGAAACTTTTTTAGTGTTGATGGATTTTTTTGTTTTTAAATATTTAAAATTTGTTATCTTATATAATAATAGTTTAGCTATATCTGTGGGAAAATAATCTTTTTCGATAAATTTTTTTTCTGCAGATATAATCAAAGGTTAATTAATTATTCCATTACTAAGTTTTAATGACATTACATTAACAGTAAAGAAAAATGTCAAATGAAAATGCAAAATAGATACTTTTGGGTTTATTTTTATTTGATTTATATTATTCTCAAGAACGTCTTAAATTTTTCAAAACTGGCTTTCATTAATCAACGGAGAAAAAAGTACAGGTTTTTTTTAATACAAAAATCATTAACGTCACAATGGATATTATTATTTATCTCATTAATTTTCGAATAAAAATGAGAAAAAATAAGGTTTTTGAGAGATTTTTTCTCAATAATATAATGTAGGTGGTGATGAAATCGGCATTGCAGCCATGAATGTGTATGGACAACCGACTCATGCGCAACATGTGTATCTCCCTTCCTACTACCAGGGCCAAATGACTTATACTCGTAAGTTAAAGCCACCAAATGTGTCATTTCGCTATCGATGTACCTTCGTTTATATTTCCCCTTTCTTAATGCACATATTGACACATGAATATCTTTTTTTGCAACTTATTTTTACTACTTTTATTTATTTCAACGATAATTTGAAATAAAAATCAACTTATACCTGTAGATCATTTTTAGATTCTGAATTTTCAACGATTCTTAGAATAGTCATCAATTTATCTCTGTTATTAACAAAAAAAAAATGAAAAAAATTCATTCTTTTAAGTATCACATTTGTTAGCATTTATTATTTTTACTTATTTCAAAATCAATCATAGTTTACTATAAATACTCAATTTTGAATTTTCAACATTATGCAACGTTAATTTGGAAATGTGAACTTTTAAAAAGTTTTGAACCTGTTCAAGAAAAAAATCAACACAAATGCTCGTGTTTGATAATTTTGTTTACACCATACTGAGCATAAGATTTTTGAACTGTATGAGGATTATGGGTTCAAACCCTACATCAATCGCCTTTACTATAAAAGATTATAACATACCAGACAAATTTTGTCGTCTTTTTCTAGACATAATATTTTATTACTTTTACTGAAAATTTTTTTGATTTTGTAAGTATTGAGATTTTCACATGAGATAATAAGAAATAGTTAATAAATTTTGGAAAGACAATTGAATCATCCAAAATTATATGTTTTTTATTTATATTACATTTTCAGCTAACGGCTTTACATCTATAGGTTTCATCTTAATTTAAATATGGAAAATTTTTTAATAATTTTTTTTTTTTTATTGATATTACAAAAAGATAATTCAAGCTACAGTAATCATACAGTAACTCTTTAAAAGAAAATACTTTTCGAGGATGTGTAAGGACTAATGTACATATGAAAAGTATCATATATATTTCGGAGCTTCGGCCTAGACCTCGTGACATGCTCTGATCTGAGAATTGGATCTTACCCGTGGCGTTTTCTTATATTATTCATATTAACGAAAGATGTTCACTCTAAAGAACAGTTATATAAAATATGATAGCTAAAGTTTTATCGAACTCAGCTCAGCTATTGTATTTTTTTTTATAACAAAAAATTTCATAAATGGTAAATAATATAAATTATTAAAAATAGTTCGAACGAATGAAGGTTGAAAAATAGGCCACAGTAAACTTATTATTGGTACATTGAATGCGACTATTTATTGTCACGGTCATCTATTGTATGTCATCAATTGGTTTAGTACTGCTTTTTTCTATAATTGGGTATTCCTGTCTGAGTAACTGAACTTATTTGTAATTATAGCACATGCATAATAAAATAAAATTATCATTATTCAGTTATCATTCAATAACAATAAACTTTTCATTGTTAATAAATAAAGATAAAAAGTAAACAGAAATATAAATGAAATAAATAGATTAAATAGAATTAATTCTATTGTCTTTATGTGGTGATTTTATCGCAACACTTTAATGAACATCAGTCTATGAAATTTTATGAATTATTTTTTTGAAGAAATTCTTCCACGTATTTAAACATGTATAACTACTTAAATGACTTTTAATTTTTTGGAACATAAAAATACGTTAAAATGTTTTATTTTGTTGTCACTTTTATTATAAATATATTCCTCATATTGAGAAGATAAACTATTTATTTCTCCAAATTGATATATAATTTATCAATAATGTGAAGCCAACAAAAGTATTTTGTTACTTTTATATATTTGTTTTTCAGAGAAAAAAAACCTTTTATATTGGCAATTAATTGAATTAGCATGTTAAGAAGCTTCAACACATTTAATTGTGAAAAGAAGTTGCAGTTGATTAGCTAAAGTAAATATGCGCAACGTACATAACAGCAGCATGTGCTGGAGGAAAAATTGAGCAGAGGAGAATTATAATGTAACGTGAATAAAGTTAGATAATTATGTCATAGTCATGTGGTAATGGTGCACCCGTGTTTCCCTCACTATCTATACTTGTTACATAATTTCTAGAGTATTATGTCGTACAATATCGTCATATTCTATGGTTCTTATTTTGTGGTGATATTAGTCCGATGAAAATTGGCTGAATGCCCAACTTAAAACGTCGACTGAAATACGTTTATTTAATAAAACGATACAAGTAGTAGTTGTTTTGTAGTAATCTATGTGCATTGGAGAATTTGGAGAATAGAGCAAGGCCAGCAAAAAACTTAGATTGAAGATTACATTTAAAGCTATTTTTAATCATGATTTATTACGGAAAAACGATACAGTTATTGAATTTGATGTTTATATTTATGCTCACATCTGTAAAAAATGTTGATTCAATGAATTTATTTGAAATTCAAGGTTGATTCTAAATGATTAGATCAATGTCCATTGTTGAAATTTCACTTAAAAAGTCATATTAAAAATTGCATATAAATTATTAATATAAATGGAATTTATTTTTAATGATTGATATAATTTTACATATATATGTATATTGACTGAATATTATCTTATATCTATACCTTAAATAATAGTTGACGACAATAAAGATATTTCGTCATAAAAATGTTTCTATTTAATTGTCAAATAAAAAATTTGAAAAATATTTTTTAATGAGGCAAAAACTTAATCATTATTTTGATAAGTTTTGTTTTAATTTTTAAATGACCAATGTATAACTAATTTGACAATAATTACGATCAATCGACGAGTATGTTATTAATCTGTAGTTAATTTGATTCCTAGTATTTCAACTACAATATTAATTAATGAAATTATTCTTTTTTTAATGACGTGAAAATGATAATCTACGTAGTTGTAAGTAAAAAAAATATGAGTGGGGAACACTAAATATCTGAGTGAAGCTATTATAAAATTGGTACTCTATGGATGTGAGGTCACGTTTCTAAACGCGCACTGATCTTGAATCAATCGTTGATGTCAGTCGTTGTTCCTTGGCATTAAGATCAGTCCACTAGTTTTGAGTTAAAATAAAATTTGCAAAATACACTCAGGAGAATAATCCAGTAATATATCAATATAAATAACTCAAAAAAGATTTTGTTTGAAATGACAGAAAAAAAGAGGAAAAATAATTTTTAAAGTGTGTGAATTTGAATATTTTAGTATGATATTGCTCAATCATAAATGTGGTACACTTTGGAATAAGGACGATTGATTGTATTACAGTAATTAACGTGAAGACGTGCTGGTATTAGGTGAAAAACATACCTAAAAGTGTTAATTATTGATACAACCGTCTGAAATATACATTCAAGTCAAAATGGTCAAGGATAAATTGATAAAAACTCGGAAGAAGACTAAGAAATTACCATGTTGTGGATGTACTCATAACAGGAACAGCGACATACTTAGTAATTAAAAATAATGATCCTACATTTGTGCTTCTCTTAAGCCTACCTAGCAAGCGCACATTTTATATCATTTCACTATGGCTATTTAATAAATTTCATATTTGTTGATCAATAAATAAATTACACTGAGCTCATTTTTGATCATTTTGTTGATTCGAAAATTAACTAGAAATTTTTTTATTAATATAAATGGTAATTTTTTCCATGAATATTACATTTAATAATTACGTGAATCACCTAACTTTAAATTTAGTGTACATCCTGCGTACAATGTATAAACTCATGTAATTTGTTTACATCACGATCTTTAAGGCGCGCGTCATCATTAAAACGAATGAAGGAAGCGATTGGTATTCATATAATACATTTGGGTCAAGTAAAATTTTTGAATGTAACTAACTGCATATTCCACTATATTAGCAATTGCGAATATATGTAAAAACTGTCAAAATGACATGTTTACTCATTAATTATTATAAATTAACAGACACTTCAAATAATAGTCAAATTGTTTAGTAAATATTAATTAGGTATACTTTTTCTATTATTTCCCAGATAAACTCATGAGAGCCAAAATAAGTAAAAATTTTATTCTTATAAACGGGCATATGAACATTTTTATTTGCTTTAAATCATTATTTTCTTGGATGTTTTACTTTAACTAACTATTCATAGTGTGAGTAAGATTTATAAATAGATTCTAAGAAATCCATATGTCTTAAAAAATTATTTTTATTTTTTTTTCTTTTTTTGCTATAACAAACAAATAATAAATAACAAAAAATTAACAAAATATTCAAAACATTAATTACATTAATAATCATGTGGTCGATGTATCATTACACATAAAGAAGATATGTTTATTTCAAAAATAGGAATAAAGTTTAAATAATATACACATGATCATTATGGTTGTGCAGTGATTGAGGACAAATAAGTTGATCAAATTTTCAAAGGTTACACTGCAAATCGAAATGTAGTACAATGAACACACAAAAACATGTTATAAACAAAATATAGATTTTAACACACCCTGCAGTATGCATAAAAAAACTACAAAATTTTTATAGTTTGCTTATTGTAGTTGATATTAAACATGTTTATGTATGTTCATTTTTAACACACTTCAATTTACAGTGAATCGTCAGGATAATCTTTGACGTCATAACTTTTAATAAAGCATAGCAAAATGAAAATTATTGATTTTTATTTTTTATCGATGAATTTTCATCAAACTTATCACAATAATTTTTTAATTATTTAAAAAATTACAATCGATTTTGTAAGATATTAAAGCGAAAAAAAAAAAATATTAATAAATATTAATTGCAAGAGCGTGTGTTCTGAAAGAAACATTAGAATAAAACCATTTTAATTTCAGTCTTTTCTTATGATCTAAATGGGTAAATTCGTATTAGTTAGTTAACTAGTTTAATTAATAAGTTATTTCCATAGAAGACTGAGAGGGGAAAAATGTAGGTCAATAACAATATGCATCAAATATTTATAGATGGTACTTAAAAACATTTTGACATTTTTTTCAAATGTGACAATAAATAAATCATTTAGTCAAGAAATTATTTTAATTCAAAAATAATACCTATTAAAAGTAAACAGTGTCATACGATCTTAATTTTGACTAATATTTATAATACTTCTTGATAAATTAATAAAATATTGTCATTTTTTATAAAGCTTAAATACGATTATGTATGTGCTATAAAGGTATAATGTATTTTAAGAGTATCTACACGTTATTTTATTACTCACTGAAACTTAAAATATTAAAACTCAGTTTTTTGAGTGATTAGGAGAAGTAAATAAAAAAATCAATTGTGACGAAAAACAAAAACTCCGTTTTAAGAATGTAACATTCTTGGTAATATTTTTTATTAAGGAATATGAACGTAGGTAGAACGCATTAATAGGTTAAATGTAGTATCTTCGGCTTTACATTCTTGACCTATTCATTAAAAAGATGAATTGATACATTATTCAAGTGTCAGCTATGATAAAGATTATTATTGGTTGGATCATAAAGTTGATTCTGTCCATTACATTATCTTTTAATATAAAGTTAATTTATTCTGATCGTCAGTATTGCTTAGAAGTAAGAATTTTATCACTTATTTAGATGGTAAAAGAGGATGTAATTGGCTATTTTCGTAAAACTGTCAGCCCTATGATTTACATGAATGAAATAAAAAATTGATATATAATCAGTGAGTTTAGGAAGTGATGAAGAATTTTCATAAGTTAGTTTGTTTATACGAACATTGTGGATAGAATTTGTTAATTTTTTTGAACATTATAGCTTAAAAAAAATGTAACACATGTATTCTATATCAGAAATATTTTTTTTTTAATGAATTAATAATACTTTTTAAGGAAATATTTTTTTTCTAGTATCTATTATTAAATGAAATTTTTTTTTAAAAGTCCAAAATATTTTCTGTGATTAAATGATTATCAAATTTTTATGTGATTTTGTCATTTGGATTACATGTTTCAATTACTTATTTTTCATAAGTATTATTTAACTGTCATGATGTAGCATTAGGATAAAAAGTATGGCAGCATTTTTTTTCACTATTGTATAAGTAAATAAATGAAGTCAGTTTATTTATTAAACAATGCTTTTTTTGTAGGCGAAGATCCTATGCTCAGCGATCAACAACAATATCGTTACATGACTGTTGATGATATGAAGTCAATGGGAGACGATTCAATGAGAGTTAATGTCACTGATGATGAGAGAGACAATCGACATTCCGGAGGTCAGAGTTGATTCAATTTTATTAATATGTCTCACATTTTTTTTCAATTTAAACAGAATTCTTCTGTTAGCTCTAAATTTAACTTAATGCCATTTTTGTTATTATATTTAGGAACTATCGTAGCTGATTTGATGAATAAGGAGAGTTATTATCGATCAAATGCAGCCAATTTAAAACCAGATAATATTGATATTAATAGGCATCCAGTTCACGTAGGGTATGTATTTATATTTTACTCAAAAAAATAAAATTTTTTTGGAAAGTCACAAAAATAATTTAAAAACAGATTAAAACTGATAAAAGCCTGTTTAATAATTTTTAGTGTTAAATAAACCATTTTCAAAAGTAAAAGTATTTTTCAATGTAATTGTAGTTATTAGATTACATTGGAATAATAATGATGTGTATTATAGTACGATTTGAATGTGCAAATGTGTTAAATACGAGTGTTATAATTGGCATCTTAAAATATTTTGTTTATTGAAAAATTTTTGACATATTAACTAACCAATATTCGCAAACTTACATTTTAGCATCGTATTAAAAAATATATCATTGATGGCTATACAATTATTGTCAAATTTTTATGCTTATGTATGTGTTTGAAAAACTAAGCATGATGAAGAAAATGTTAAAATAAGTACCCAATAGAATTCATTTTCATTAGAAACTCGATTCATAATATTTTTATACATATAAAAATTTTCCTTTTTTTTCATTCGATTATATTTTAATAAATTGAACGTGTCTAAATTATTCCATTGATGACGTCAAAATGATTAGGTTGCTCAGGAAGCTAACAATAATATTAAATGGTAAAGAATAAAGAATACATTCATAAAAGTATAGCTAATAACAGTAAATCCGAGTTTGCACTTATAGAGAATAGAATAACAATCTGTGAGTCCCTTACTAACAAGGGAATCTTTAGTTAGCGTCTATCTTATGAATACAAATAAAGTTTTATTATATTACATGAGTATAGTAATCTACAACCACGCTTAATCTCATTGTGATTTTGAATTCATTGAGTCGTTGCGTATTCGTTTCATTGACTAACTTATTCTCTTGACTCTTTGAGTCTTTTACCACTAGCGTATAAGTATGTAGTTTTGTTGGGGAATAGTCGGTTACAATCTGGTAGTTGACGTCGCATGAACTTTCCTTTAGCTCTTTACGTGGATTTTATTTTGATGTTATGTATATATACATGTGTGTATGTGCGTGTCAGAAATTATCATCTATGACTTTAAAGAATATGTTTTCATCGAAAAGTATCTATTATTTTAATTTAATAGCAATTATTTTTTTCATGGCAAATTTTTTAAATTTGTTTCTTCGTAAATGTTGATATTTAAACGGTACTTTTAATGAAGCGAGAAGAGATTCTTCTTAATGAAAAAACAACCAAGGTAACATTAAAATCAAAGTATTGTCTTCGTATATTGAAAAAAATATTTCGTTTTGAAGATAAATTTTGAATTTGTTTAATAAAGGAAATTTGGAATATTTGCAATGAAAGATTTTTGCGATTCAATTATATGTTTTTTAAAAATCGTATATTATTACTTGATTCAATATTGTAATAAGTTTGAATACAAACGACATTTAATTCACTATACAAAATAATAATTATTTTCTTTTAAACGCCATATGAATCATAATAAATAATGATTAATATAATATATTGTAATAACTCAGTTAGTAATGTTTTATTTCATATCCGGAAAAATTTTATTCGAAAGTAATGAATTTATTAAATTTAAAAACAAAAAAATTAAAATTAATTAAATACTCGGAAGATTTTCATTTAACGTAATCAGGAGTAATGAAGAACTTATTAGTTGGAAGATTCAAATTCTAAATTGATAATCGCGAACTTCGTTCAATCTCGATAATAAAATTATTTTTGAGTGTAAAAATTAATCTATCCTTATGACAGTTTAAGATCATTTTTTCGGTTTATAATAAAAACAAAAAAAAACATAATATTCTGACAATTATGAATAAGTAATGAAGTAACATGATTTGGTAAATTTGTATGACAACTCATCAACGTCTTTAATTTATATTTTTTCAATGTTATTCAAGAATTTATAAATTCTTTATTTATAAAAGTTTCTCAAACATTTTCTATGCATTGAAAAATGAATTCATCTAAATACTTGTACATTTGTTTTTTACCCAAATCAGAATATTTTTGTTTTTTAATAAAAAAAGCTACTGACAAAATATGAAATGATTCTCCAATAATAAATATAATTAATGACAAATATTTAGAAATGGTTTATTCGAATCTTTCAAATCGCACTTCATTACTCCGTGTTCACTGAAATTTATCGAAAATTGCTCTCAGTTTACTTAGTTTTACAACTTGAAATTATTAAAAGATCAATAGTTGAATGATAAATTAATTTTATTTCATTGATAAAAATCAAGAATAAAATGATTGTTCCCTCATTCCCTCATGTAATCAATCTTAGATAAAAATTCATCATAATCATCCCTATTCTTTCAACAAAATTAAATGTAGTATCACAGATGAGTTTTTCAGTATATTGGTAATAATTAGTTGTTTATGACAATTATTATAGTTTTATTTTGCATTTTTGCACGAATTAAAAAATAACTTTTTGAAAATAAAAGTTAAAATTATGGTAATATTAATGTAATAAAGATTACAACAAAGCATGCGCACGGTTCAAAAAAAAGTTTCTTTATGTGATTATTTTCGAGTTTTGTTCAAATACTTAGACCGTCACTAGAGTCCTTAAGTTGGTCGCTGGCAGCCCTTGGTATCATACCAAAAGGACAAGGAATGTGGAGGGACAGGTATCACCTTTATATCTTATTTTAATTAAATTTAGTTTTTTTTATTAATATTGAATTTCAATTATTTCTTCTTTAAACAATTGGTTTTTTACATATTATTTTTTGTATAGTTTATTCAAAATTTTATTCTCTATTTCGTTCATTTATCAAGAGATACGGTAGTGTCTCGTGCGCCAAGCATAAATCACTGCCATTTAGCCCTTACGTCACGACGAGGCACTACTGTGTCACTATACAAATTATAAGATGATTTTTGCAGGTTATAATTTTTAAATTTAAAATTTTTTTCTTATTATAACATAAACATGGGCTGAAATTAAGAATTTGCTCGGAAAGCGATCGTTGACTCTCGATTAAGCATACTATGAAGTATTATCATTGCTTCATTCATAATATACGAAATTGAAAAAATTTCTTAACAGTCACGCCAAGTTTTTGGTTGTTATGTTTATTGTGTCAAAACGTACTAAATTTTTTTTCAAAAAAAAACCCCCCCGAAGAAAATAATTCATTTTAAATATTGTTGATTTGTAGATTTAAATAATTGGTGTTTAATGATTTTCGGACTTTTTGTAATTTCATCATTGTCGTTATTTATGTTTGGCGCACATTTTTGTACAGCCCAGAAAGAGGGGGCTGTTTTTGATGAGATTAATTATAGGAATTTTATTAATCCAGGCATATAGTTTGAAATTTCTGGTAAGAAGTATTTCTAGTGACTGTCAATGTATTGCAGAACCGCACTAATTGAAACACAATAATTTTATTATAACAAGACCATATTTTTTTTTAAGCAATATCAGTATTTTTATATGATTTTTTAAATATAATTGAATAATTTTTATTGAATTTCTTCTGGATATGAATGAATTTTAGAGTACTTCTTAATTTAATTATCAAATTATAAAAATTTTGTATAGTCCTCAATTACCTTTCACAGTATGAATGATTTCAAAACTTTCCAATCTCTACTATAATACATAATTATTATTGTTATATTATTCGAATAATTTTTTTCATCTTGAATAGTCGATATTAAATAAGTAAGGTGAAAAATAATCAAAAATAAACCAATATTAAAAATTAAGATAATATGACCAAAAAACAAAAAAAAGTGAATACTAACGGGTACTTTTATTTTGTTTCCGATTCTTTCTGTTATTTTATTCGCGCTCGCAGCATTCCATCTTGGAAAAAGTAAGTGAATAAATGAAAAATTTATTTTGCCTTGTTTTTGTTTCGAATTAATTATTCTGTAGCAAGATAATCCTTTTTTTTTCCTTCAATTATGACAATTAATCAATGTTATTACAAATTATTTACTATGCGCTGCTCGCTCTGCACTCGACATTATCATACTTTTTTATGTATTAGATTAGACTTAGTTACAGTATTTTAGTGGCTGATTAATGCTATTCATTAGAGATAATTTTGATGTTCCGAACTCTGTTAAAAAGATGCAAATATATAAAAAATCTATTTGAAATTTTGTTTAATTTAAAAATTAAATATACGAAATAAATAATAATTATAACTTAATTATTATTTATAAAATATGTATATACGATAAAAAATGAAGCGTGTTGAATGCAAAAATTGAATACTTTCATAAATTATGAATGTATGTATTATTCAATTTATTAATGATTCAGCAATTATTTATTATTTTTTAATTTTGCTATTTTCATTTTGTCATTTATTATGAATTATTTGCTTTTTATGCAAACACTAGTTCATTCGTTTAAAAATTTTTTTTCTACTATCTTATTAATTTATTTATCATTCATGTTGTTTAATACACACAAATCGTAAGCACACAGACCATTTATGAATACATTTCACAGCATACAAAAAATAGTTTTAATTTTAGAGAAAATACTCAAATTTTTGAAATAATAAATTCATCAATTGTAATCGTATACATGTATGCACGGAGTAAATTTAACATTTTTTCTGTTACATATAGTGATTAATTTTATATTATACTCCCTTAAAACGAATTAGTAATAATTATTGCAAAACTGAATATCCATTACTCTAGTTTTCGAGAGTGAATAAATCATTTTTGATAATCGTTACAAGTTAGTTATAGGTTGATCTAAAAAAATATTGATAATGAGATGAAAATAAATCTATATAAATTCCGTTTTTAAAATGATATAAATTTATGTAAATGATAGAATTTATAGAAATTTATAGCATGTATTTAATATTTTCTAAACTATTCGTTAATTTTCAAAAGAATTGATTGATAAAATTGTGATGTTTCTGAACGATATAATAGATATTATTTATAAACATGAGACACATAATTTTGTAGAGAAATATTACTCAGTCTAGAAATAATTGTTACAATCTTTTAACAAAAAAAAAAATACATGAACATTTATCATGGAAAATGTTGAGACATAAATAAATGTATATATCATATTTTGTTATGCTCTATACAGCTTCTTAGTTTCATTTCTGGTGGATGCACGTGGAGGTGCCATGCGAGGATGTCGGCATAGTGGTGTACGCGTTATTGTGCCACCACGAAAAGCTGCAATGCCTATGAGAATTACTTGTAGATATCTTAAGAGGGATAAATTGACAAATCCACCTCCTCTTATGGAAGGCGAAGCTCTTGCCAGTCGAATACTTGAACTTGGACCAATTGGGGCTAAATTTTTAGGGTAACTTTTTTGTCTATAACATATTTTTTAATAAAAAAAATATATATTAAAATCACTTTTCTATAAAATCTTTTTTTTAGGCCTGTAATTATAGAAGTTCCACATTTTGCCTCTTTACGAGGAAAAGAAAGAGAAATTGTAATTCTCAGATCCGACAATGGAGAAACTTGGCGGGAACATACTCTTGAAGCTAGTGAAGAGGCAGTACAGGATGTCCTCAATGAAAGTTTTGAAGGCGAAGGTATACACTTTAATAAGTCATCAATAAATGCAACCTCGTAGTTCTATGTTATAACATATAGTATATTAATCGAAGAAACAAAGTCAGATATATATACCTGAAACTTTACTATTTTCGCCTTTGATTAAGGGAGTTATTTTCGATATGGATCAGAGTATTGTATTTTCTTCTTTCAACTAATATTATTGACTCTGAATTTCAGAATTAAGTCAACTAGAAGATCTTCAGACTTCACGAATTGTAAGGATCCTCACAGTTGATTTTCCGCACTATTTTGCTGTAGTATCTCGAATCAGACAAGAAGTTCATGCTGTTGGGCCTGAGGGTGGAACAGTGTCATCATCAGCAGTACCTCAAGTACAAGCTGTGTTTCCACCGGCTGCACTTACTAAGAAAATTAGAGTTGGCCTACAGGTAATTGTAAATACTTAGCCATACTCAGTTAATAGTCCAGTAGCTAAAAAAAAAAAGAAATAAAAAATTATTGTTCAATGGTGATAAAAATTTTTTGATGACGGATTGTTGTAAAAGTCTCTATAGAGAGAATTTCTGCAAAGATTTTTCACTCGTAATCAATTATTACTAGTATTTGAACGATTTTAAACTTTTACAGTTGAGCGCCGTCTTAATAAACAATGCTAAAAAAAATATTATTAAGCAGTCTAAAAAATCGAACCAATTAAGGCATGTTCAGAATCGCTTTCTGAAAGTTTTGAAATAAAATTTTTTTAACAATATCCATTTTTCTATTTATTAAGTAATTTTCAATGATTTTTCTTTTCTATTTTATTAACAACTTTGCACCCTTATATCTTTCGCATATAAGGATACATTTTAATGTCAATTTGAGAGCAGATTAGATTTATTCTCTTTTCAAAAATGGCTATCTCACTTTTTCCATAAATTTTATTTTTCAGTTACAAAAAAATTAATAATATCATTTTCATTACTTTCATCCTTCTTTTAAGAATGAAGTTACAAACATTGGTAATTACAATGCATAGTAAACCTTCATATCTTTATCTGAAGAATATGAAGCAATTTTTGTAACTGAAAATACTAATTTACTGAAAATTATTAGTTTTATAAAATTGACTGATGAACATTATAACAATTGCAAAAAAATTTGCATCATGGTTCAAAGAAAGCTTATTATTAACTTATATATTTGGCTCTTCTTTTACTTATAATATTAATAAATTTCCTTATTTTTATTTCTCATTTCAGGCTCATCCAATATCTGCTGAATTGGTAGCGAAGCTTTTAGGCAATAGAGTGGCAGTATCTCCAATTGTAACTGTTGAACCACGCCGAAGAAAATTCCATAAACCTATTACATTAACAATACCTGTACCTCAAGCTGCAAATAAAGGCATGATTAATCAGTATTCTGGGGATGCGCCAACTCTAAGGCTTCTATGCAGTATAACTGGTAATATATGCTTGCACGTAATAATGTAGGCGCGGCAACCAGCTTGACTGAAAGATCTCTCCACTAAAAATGATTTTTTACTCAATTTAGTAATTAATTATTTTAATGAGTTGAAGTATTTAATGGAATCATTCAAATATAAAATAAAAATAGTCTTTTTTTTATTAATTAGTTGATTATTATTATTTATCTTGTAGCATTATAGAATATGAGAGATTTATACGCCAAATGGTAGCTGCACGACTTATAAAAATAATGTAACAAATAGTAACTGTGAGTTATATACCATTTTTGTATACATTATCTTGTTGTGATTCATTGTTAATGCTTGCGTATTGTTAGGATCGAGTCATTTAGGTATGGATCATTAATTAACTGTAGATAAATTCGAATTTTTTCAATCTATTTTTGCTCATTTTGAATTAGTTAAATTGATAGTTTTTTTTCAGCACAATTCGTTTGATTGGTAATTTTGCTTAGATAATCTAGATGTAATATACATTTCAATAATTTATTCAATTATTAATTATTGATAATATTTGTGCATTTTTAATATTTTATTCTTATTTATATATTGTAAATTATTATTACTTTTTTCAATGCTATTTTAATATTTTTATCAAATACGAAACTTGTCATTTCATTATTACTGAAAATAATTATAATTAATGGAAAAATAACAATGAATAATTAGTTTTCTAAGGGAGACGATTTTTTCAAATTTATCTGTAATAATATTAAAGGACAGCTCTGTTAATTTTCGTTTTCATTATTTATAGGACAAAAAGGAAATAGAATTAAAATAAATATTATTTCAACAATAATTTAATTCAACAATTTTTATTTTTTTTCGAAAAACAACTTTTGCAATCGATTGGATCATTATTATTGAAATATTTTCTTGCCGCTTTATAGTTGTCTTTCACGCTCGTTGCTTTATGAAGCGATATATTAATTGTTCATTTAATTATTTAGTTGTATTTTTATTCTTTAGTCATTTTGCAAGCAATACTTATGAGTGGGTAACACTTTCATTATTTCTTTTTACATCGATACCAAGCACATAACAATAAGGCACATACAATAAATCTGAATTTAAATCCAGTCATTGAACAACATTAACTTCAATTTCATAGTAAACAAGTAAATATATTATAATGTTTGATTTAAATTGTCGTGAGCTGTATTTAATGTCAGTATTAATGAATATCTTCTACACATTTCACTATTTTATCATAAATGTATATACATCACGGACTTATTTTAATGATATTATTGGACTTGGCATGTATGTCGTTCAGGGGGTCAGTCTCGGGCGGTTTGGGAGGATGTCACTGGATCAACGCCTCTTACCTTTGTTAAGGATTGTGTATCTTTCACTACAACTGTATCTGCGAGATTTTGGCTTATGGACTGTCGAAATATTACTGATGCTACGAGAATGGCAACTGAGCTCTATACCCATGCAACTCATGTTCCTTTTATGGCTAAGTATGCGTTTTTAATGTATTTTTTTTATGTATGTATTATTTATTAAAATATGATCTTTTCAAGAGAGTAAAATAATAAAACTTGAGTTGATATTATAAGACAAAAGATTTCATTAGTAACATATATTCAATTCTAGTAGTGGTTACATTGAAACTAAAATTACAAATCTAAATACAAAATAGTCAGTTGCATTGTCAGTTACACACATGCCCAACTAGAAAAAAATTTTTTTTTTAGCTTATTTGACACTTTTTTTAAGTTAGGAATTAGTTTTTCCAAAATTCATCAAGAAGGTGTCTATATAGAGTAATTTTCAGATAACTAAAATGATATCGAAAATATGTCTGAAAAGATATCCAAAAGATGTCTAAAGAACGTCTAGAGGATGTCAGAAAAGATGTTTATGAGAAAAAAATGTCTTTAGATGTCTGATGGACATCTTTTTAGCTTTCTTTTTGAAATCTGTTTAGCTTTCTTTCAGACATGATTTTAGACATCTAAACAGACATCTTTTTGGATGTCTTTAAGACAACTTTCAGAATATCCAATAGGAATTTGATATCTTCTTATCTGAGTCCAAAAGATGTCTTCTGGATAGCTTTCTTCTAGTTGGGCATGTATGTGAAACGTGTACTTGGTGTGTTCACGCACTTCGCCATCCTCAACATACTTAGCATTTATAACTTAAAATACTTACACTGCAAATCGAAGCGCATTACATCGAACACACATAAATGCGTTTAATGTTAAATGTCATGAACAAACTATAAAAGTATTTTAGTCGTTTTAAACACACTTTGAAATGACTTCAAATTTACAGTTTGTTTATGGCATTTAACATTGATCATGTTTATATGTATTCACCGTAATACACTTCGATTTGCAATGTATTGAAGATTTTCATGATAAATAACACAAGAAATTCGATAGTCATTTTAAGGAAGTTTGAGCATTTCTATGGTTAAATTGGGAGTCTAATTAATTTAATAAAATTTTTAAGTAATGTTGAAGTAAGCCAATAGGATTTTATGAAGATTACGGGATTTTTGATCAAACTACGTTATTATATCAGGAGAAATTATATATTTATTTAACAATGAAACATATTCTCATCAAAAGTAATGATAAAATAAAATTTATCATATGATAATTTAATTAATTATTGATCTTATGAATTGTAGGTTTGTAGTGTTCGCAAAGCGCGTAGATCCACTCGAAGCTAGACTACGGGTCTTTTGTATGACTGATGATAAAGAAGATAAAACTCTAGAACATCAGGAACACTTTACAGAAGTAGCAAAAAGTCGTGATGTTGAAGTCCTTGAGGGCAAAACTCAGTACATGGAGTTTGCGGGTAACCTTGTACCAGTTTTGAAGAGTGGTGAACAACTTCAGTTACCTTTCCGAGCATTTAAGGAAAATCGTGTACCTTTTACGGCAAGAATAAAAGATCCAGATGCAGCAGATATGGTTGGTAGGATTATGTTTATGAATGAACCGAAAATAGCTAAGGGCGAACCTCCACAAACACCAATATGTACCCTTAATATCTTGCTACCAGACAAAATTTCTCCAGAAATCGGTCATTCTGAACTTGATTTACTTGAGTTATCAAAAAATTATAGTTTCTTACGCGATGGTGGTTTGAGTAAGTATATTTCATTTTTTAAGTATAATTTGATCAAATACATCAGATTTAAATAAATTAAAAAAACTAATTTGTTTGGCGTAGGTCGACCGGACACTATTCACAGAGCAACAATTCGCCTAACAGATATTGCTAATTTACTTGATAGTGATTGGGAAAAATTAGCTGAGGAATTAAATATATCTCCTAACGATGTGGAACTAATTAAACGAGAGCATGTCGGTAAACCTGCTCTTCAAGCTGCTACCATGTTCAAACTTTGGCAGAATCATGGAAATAAAGCTACAGGTAATTGACAATTCTACAAATTCTTTTCTACTGCGTTATCAAAAGAACGATTTTCCGAAAACAGAGGAGAGCGATAATTTTTCGATATTGATTATCACAAACATTCGAAAACGATACGTTATTTGATTTTATAAATATTTTGAATCGGCAGCTGAACTCCTTCATCTCCGATAACTTTGAATTTTTTTATGTTCTAAAGGCAATAATATTGACTTATTTTTTGTATATAGAAATATATGCACTAAGCTAATCTTTATTATTACTTTTCCTAATAAAAATGACATCACTGTGCGAAGAATTTGCACAAAAAATAACTCGATTTTTCAATGTCTTCATTTTGTTTTTTAATGCATTCAATGCAAAAGGAGGTTGAGGATAGTGGCGTGTGCGTGTATGGAATGGAGGTGGGGGTTTGGCGTGTTAAAACGCTGGTCAAATAATCATTTTTCAGACAACTTTTAACCCCCTCTCTCCCTTACTCTCAACGTCCTTTTGCATCAGATATTCGCGAAATATTGGTAACACATCATTTGATTTGTACATTCTTAAAGTTAAAAAAACTATGTATAGACATATTTTCCGCACCTTATATGCGCATATATTCTTGTTCAGCGAAGAGAATTCTATAACATATTGAAATTTCAAGGTCATTGATGATGAAAGGAGTCAGCTGCATAAATATCTAAATTTTTTTACGACAATAATTTTGTTTTTTCATTCAAAAAAACTGGAAGATGGTAATTTTAAAGACTTCTTAATTAAGTAAATGACGACACTATAATAGGTGCGAGTCAGCAGTCTGGAATTTTTAGATACGTAGTTGATGAACTCATCGTTGCATTGTTATGTTTATGGTATGGCTATATCTTATAGAAGAGAATTGTCATTAATGTGTCTTGTTTCATTCACTTATTTCTGAACATAATAGTAATCACATCTGTATTCGCTACACTACGTGAATTACATCATTGCCATTATTTAAACTACAACATATTTCCACTTGGACGTTAGTAGTTTATTATCCATCATAATATGAAAATGATTTAAAGCTCTATAATAATTATTAACTTTGCTACTAAAGAGACGATTTATTTTACGGTTTTGAAAATTTAAATTTCACTTATTTAGAATATGATAAGTTTTTGAAATATGTTTATAACATTATATCAAGCATACAAAAATTCGATCGTCTTAGGATTCACTAGTGAACTGTATGTGTTATTCAACAAATCTATATCTTCACAAGTGCAATTAGTTCAAGATAGAGGTTTGTTCTCCATAATAAAACCTGAAATTAAAAAATTAACTTGAATAAAATAAAAAGGGAAAAGTTTAATACTGTATTGTACAATTGTAAAAAGTGCAGTTACATAGACTTATAACAAAAAATATAATGTCACTACAGTTTTTTATAATATTAGATTTTTTCGGTTTATAGGAAATACCCTTGAGAAAGCATTAAATAAAATTGGTAGAGAGGATATTGTGAAAAAGTGCATTTTTAATGTAGAATTGGTAACTGATGACGTGGAGAAAGCTGTAGCAAGAGTTCGACTTGATCAGCCAGGTTTTGACTCGCTAAAAGATGAATTGGGATCTTCAAGAGATTCCTCATTGAAACGAGACGAGTCTTTAGTAGGTCGAAAACTAGACTATGAAGAGCTTGATCATATGAAAGTAAGTGTAAATGATTATTCATTTTTATCGTAATAGCACTATTCATAAATAAAAAAGAAAAATGTATAGGCCATTTCAGTCATAGTTTGTGTTCATCTATGGTTTCTTCTTGATTACCTTAGTAGCCAAATCAACGTAAGACTGACAGCAGATTTACATATGTGGGTAACTTACTGGCTACTAGGGTATAAAATGTACAATTGTACTGAAAAATTAATTATCAAGTTTTTACATTGATTTTATTATTATTTTTTATCCAATGAAATTTATTTACAGTCAACTATTAATAAAAATATTATAATTAGTTATTGACATTTTTTATTATTAAAACAAATTGTACAATTAAAAAAATGAAATAACGATAGGTACAAACCGAAGTGCTATTATTACATTTTCTAGATAGTTTCTTAATAAATTAATAATATTTTCAAACAATTTTGTTCATTATAATTGGATCGAAAAAATATGATGATAGTGAATTGATGAATTTTAAAATTGACTTTAAAATGTATGTTTTTTTTTTTAGAAGTGCCAAAATGAATAACAACTAATGACATTCTAATAATAAATTTTGTTTTTATAGGATTCAGAATCTATCGAAAATTTAACCAGTATCGAAAATGTGTTGCCTAAACATCGTAAGTTATTTTTGATATTTTAAACTTTTGTTTTTATTCACTATTACTTATTTTAAAATATTTTTATGTATACTATGAGACTTATATTTACACCTCAGCCATTATTCATACTAAACTTATAATTCAATATTATATTTTTATCATAATGCTACTGATGCAATCACTGACACATTATTCAAGTTAATGAAATAGTGTAGAACCTCGAGAGAATAATCACGACATGATGTCACTGACTAAAATAAGTCTGAAATATGTTATTCAAGTTTTCATTGCATATTTCAGATGGAAAAAAAGAAAAATTCAAAAACAAGAAAATATGCTGATTCACTGACACAGCTTTTTTTCCATATGTCACGATGAATTAGACAAAAATTATAATGCATATTTTTTTTAAGTAAATGAAGAGAACTTTTCGATTGAATACCATTACCGATTTAGCCCAAATCGTTTTTCATTAACCTTGATTGGATATGAAGATATTTAGTAATTTCCTGCATCGTTTTCAGTCATTACAAAACGAAAGATTACCCAATTTTTTTTTCCTTTGAAAATATTTATGGATATATTTGGAGCGTTATAGTATTTGTATTGTGCCCCCAGACTTCTTTATGAAAGTCAACAAATTTTTCAAGTTTCACCCCTTTCGTGAGTGATACCAAATCAGAAGCATATCAGTAGTCAATTACGCTAATATTTTTCAATTATTTTCAAAAAACCAAATTGAATGAAAATAAAACTAAGTAAAAGGATATATTTTTTCTGCACTTCACAGAGAAAAAGCAGCACATAACAATCACCAATGGCACTGTGTTTAATAGTACTTCAACCCCAGTAAAAAATAAATATGCTAGTGAGGAGAAAGATATTGGTGACGATATGGCAGAATTTCTTGAGCATAAGTATCACATTACTGAGAAAATGACGAAAAAAACACAAGACGAAATTAACGATGACAATAGAAATCGACAAAAAGTAATTGAAGATGCCAACCGATTAGTTACTGGTAAGTAATGGATAATAATCATGTTTATAATTTTTTCTGAAAATTGTTTTTACTCCGAATCGATGGATGAGAGCTCTTCAATAACAAAAAATTAACAATTTTTAATAATTATTTCCAAAAGAGATGGTTCAAAGGCTATGCTTTTGCTCAACTGTAAGCAAGATATAACTTTAATGATAAAAAAATTTTTGAGATCAGTGAATTACATCTATACTTTTTTTGAATTTTTTAAATATAACATGTTATTGGTAATAATGAAGATGAATTCCCTCAATCCAAATTTTACGAAAAATGACATATATTTCCATGTAAATAGAATTCCTTCTGGAGGAATGTCGCTAGAGTTCTGAATTTTTATGCTGTCGCTGAGATGGAACGAATTAAATTAGGAATTTTCGTGCAAAATTATAAGCAAACTATTCCAATTTTTTTTTTAATTTGGAAATTTTTAATTGATGCTATCCAAATTTGATTATGCTTTTTCATAATATTGTTTGTACCCTCAAAATATTGCTTCACAGCTCTCAATAATTTATTCATACGTTTGTCGTCCTTGTCCAGCGTTACTTTTAAAGGTTATGTTGAAGCATTGACTTTTGATTTAGACACATTAGAATTATTCTCTTTGAGATGTCTGGTTAAATTAAATTTATCTGGCAATAATTGTACCGATTTTATGTAGGTAATATTTGGTCCACCTTTACCTAAGCTACTTGCATCTCTTTAATTGTCACTCATTCGCTCGTTCTCGTCTAGAACCTCCCTGACGCCCAGTTGGCTTTTGGTCCGAGGCATCAAAGACTTTTCGCCCTTTTCCTGATACTTCTTTAACCATTTATTTAGAAGTATCCACTCTTCCTTCATCATTGTTATTTTATCTGTAAAATTGATATTTATTGATAAATTTCAAATTTAAGATGATGCCTTAGAATTTGTCTCTAATCCAGCTAACCGAACAACAAGTATCACCGAGTTGAGACGAGCCTATATGTGTGCATCCGAACAATAAGATTATACACATACAGACCGTAGTCCCTCGTATGACTACTTGATGCACAGCATCAATTGTCATGCGAGTGACCAAACCTCTGGCTGTTTTTATCCAAAATCAGTATTCCAGATATAAATATTAAGAGACAGATAACATTTTAATTCAATTAACAGCATTTATATTTCAAGATTCATGGGCTCATCAACTGTCGTTCACTCGTAAAAAAAACAAACCCATTTACTTTATATTCTAACAGTCCAGTAGCGATGCAATTTAATTAGCGAATCTAATCTCCCACTTCGAACCGAAGTTTTTTTAATGTAAAATTGCACGAGGATTCTAAAAAAACTCTTCACAGGCAAAAAAAATGTACGCGTCATTGAGTTTTTTTTGTTATAAACAAATTTTCCTCCTAGAATCTGTACATTTTCATTAATAACTTTGCAGTTATGCAGAAATCGACGATACTTCATAGGACATTTTTTGTTCTTTACCGTCTAATGAAGAATTCTGTTACCTCTCTTTTCTTTTTTTCCGCCTATTTTTTGATATATTCGATTTCAAAAAATGAAAAAGACAGTGCTAACCCTTTCACAGTTATCATGCCAATTTGTCGGTATTTCAGAATTCTTTCCAATCGATCTCAAAACGATTTCTTAGTATAAGATTGACAGAATCTGAAAAAAATTTCGAATAAAAGGCTTTAATTGACAATGAATAATGTAAGACAGAGGAAAAAAAGAATAACGATTAAATTTTTCGATATTATGCTAAGAAATCGTTTTGAGATCAATCAATAATCTCTTCATCTAGATCGTATTGATTTAGTTTGAATATATCTTCAAATTTGTTTATTAAACTCTCAAACATCAAGTTGTCATACATTAGGTCTATCTTTCAGTTTCTAGCACTGTGAGCATTTAGTCTTAATTAAAATACATATTGATTAAAGATTAATTAAATATCAAATAAATACTACTGATCTGCTTTTCATCGATTAAATATTTTAATCAGTTAAGGCGTACTTGCTACATATTGATGTCGTGCAAGTAAAACTGAAATCTAGTTTTTAAAACACTCTCATTAAATTGTTTTAATAATTCTTTGTTTTGAATTTATGCTCGCATATCTTTTTTTAACAGAAGAAATTAAAAGAAATGGAAAAAAAATTATCTCTCGTCTCTCTCTTTACATTTATACATGCGCGTAGTTTTTCAAAACATTTGAAACCTTGATGTCCGCCTTTCTTGAGCGACAACAACGACTTTCATTCTGTTACATCTATTTTTTGTTTATGCATTTTGTGAATCTAATTATTCTCAGAATTGATGCTTTCGGCTCTTCACCTTAAACATCTTATTAAGCGTTGCGTTTGCCTTTCAACAAACTCGTTTATCGCTGCGTTATATCTGCGAAAACCATCGTTATGGTAATCTCTAAATTTACGCGTTTCAAAATTAATCTCGACATAATTTATGTTTTATGAAATGCACGCACTTTGAGTGTCTAAATCCTTTCTACAGCCTATCTCTCTTCAATTTTCTTTCGTTTAGATTTATTCATTCTTTTCACTCTTAAATATTGTTCATTTCTTAAGGCTGGGCTGAAGTCAGAAAGGCGACTGATTCCCCCTATCCAAATACATGGGATCGGGAAATTTCTAATTTCTTCGCCAATTTACAATTATTTCTATAAAATTAGGTACCAAATTACAGAGGAATTGATGCCGGACTGACGTAAACAACAATTTTTTGTATGTAGTGAATATTTTTATTAAAAAAATTAGAAAGAATAATGAAAAAATTATGAATTGACTTGCCGCGCTTAAATTCAAAGATGGCGGCCACATCATTCAGATGAAAAATCACTAATTATTTTATTTTTATACCTTTTTATGCCCAAAATTCATGTTTGCGTCAGTCCTTGCCACCTGTCTGAATGTTAAAAAAATCAATTCATAGTATAAAATTGAATAATTTAGAAATAATTAGAAATCTTGTATTCCAGATGATATTCTCCGGAAAATTAGTTTAAAAAAATTCTGATAGGTGACAGCATTATGCTCGCAGATGACCTCAGTCATCCATATTGAACAAATGCTCAATCCGTATCCAGAACTGATGGTGCCCTGCATTTTGGCGAGTAAATTCTGTATGTGTGTGTACGGGTAATATATGTATGTGATGTAAACATAGTGTATCACTTTACAATGCCCTACACTTTGATGACTATTGCAGTTAGGATAAATAAAAATGATGATACTCATTTAACATTAATTAATATAATACCTGCAAATAACTTCAAATACATATATTCATCCATTATTATCATTTTTATTAGGTATAAATGTTAATAAGGAAGCTCAATTCCAAGTCGGCGTATCCAAGCATGTAGTGTAAAAACAAATATACATTAACTCAATATCGAGATTATGCTGGCCATGTGGTTAGAGCGTCAGAGGTCTATTTTGCCGGGCAGAGTTCGATCCTAGTCATAATCACTTTTTTTTCTACTTTATTCGTTAGATTAGCATGTAATTATAATATTGACATGCCATAATTAATCCTTTATAACAATTTGATTTTTTTTTCTCTTTATTCATTGAATTTATTGACGCTGAGTCGAAAAATATTTGAACAGAGCCATAAACTTTCTTTTTGTATAAATACATTGATAATAGCCTGTGTTTAACAACTTATACATCTTTACATGTATTAACAATGTTATGTTATTAACAAGTTAATCATATTATTATTAACATTGAAAAGTAGTTTAAACAATCCGTGGCGAGTTCCGGCACTTCGCTGGCAAGCTCTACCCCCACTCTCTATGCCCAAGCCTGCAGCTTATAATTTTTGAGCATATATAATTGTTTTGTAATCATAATAGCTCGGTGGTTAGCGCATCGGTCTTTCATTTTGATGGGCAGGGTTCGATTCCAGTCATGGTAAAGTTTTTTTTTTCTTTTTCATTTGTTAGATTTGCATGTAATTATAATATTAACATGCTAAAATGAATTCTTACCAACGATTTGATTTTTTTTTCTCAATTATTTATGTAATTTATCGACGCCGAGTCGGAAAACATGAACAGGGTTATAAACACTTTTTTTACTATAGCTATATGAACGTAGCTTTTTTTTAAGCAATTTAGAAATATTTAGAAGTAGTTGAAATAATCCACGGGGATTTCCGGCACTTCGCCGGCAAGCTCTATTCCCACCTTTCGTACTCAAGCCTGCATTATACAATTTATAAACATAAACATGATGGCAGCGATAATATGTTAGCTCTGTAGGTAGAACACCAAGCTTTCATTTGACCGATTAGGGTTCGATTCCAGTTATAGCCAATTTTTTTTTTCATTAAAATTTTATATAAATACAATAATTGGTTGTTTATATTAGTTCAAAATTAATTCCTATAGTCTTTTGGAGACAACATTTTCTAAAAAAGAGAATTCATAGTAACTCGTTCCTCACCCTCAGCTTATTTTCAGAAAAACAAGTTTTTTTTCGTAATTAATTGGAAGAATAATGTAATAAAATATATGAATTGATTTATAAGTATATAAAGTCACTTGAACAAGAAACAGAAAAAAAAATTGCCTATGACTGGGATCGAACCCTGCCCAGCAAAATAAAAGGCCGGGGCTCTAACCACTGAGCTATTATGGTTCCAATAATATAAACGATGCTTGAAAATTATAAGCTACAGGCTTGGGCACAGAGAGTGTGGGTAGAGCTTGCCGGGGAAGTGCCGAAACTCGCCGCGGATTGTTTAAACTATTTTTTATTGTTAATAAGTTGTTAAAAAAGGCTATTATCAATGTATTTGTACAAAAAAAGGTTAATGACCCTGTTCAAATATTGTCTCATTTGTCATCGATTGATTGAAAAATAATTTTACATAAAAATTGAAATTTAAAACTCATTTTTGGCATGATAAAATTGCAATTACATGCAATTTAAATAAAAAAACAATTTTGCCGCAATTGGAATCGAACACCG